GTGCCCTCCCTTTATTTTTGCTGGCAAACTCCTACTCAGGCTTCAAGCCTTAAGTCAAATGTCACCTCCACTAGAAAGCTTCTCAACCACTTCCAGCACCATCCAATACACACCTCACCGAGATTCTGCCTCACATTTATGTTTCCATTGGTTCCATCCTTCTGTTAGTGGTGTTAACACATTCCCGTGACTCGTGTTGCAATTGATCTGTCTGCAAGTGTATCCACTCTACTGACTCATTAGAGCACAAGTACCGGGTCTTAATTCTTTTTTTTAACAGCTTTATTGAGATATAATTTGCATACCATAGAGTTCACTGTTTAAAGTGTACAATTCAGTGGGCTTTAGTATATTCACAGACTGCATCACTATAATCTAATATTAGAACATTTTTCCTTACCCCTCAAAGAAACCTTGTACTCATTAGCAATCACCCCCAATCCTTCTATCCACCCAGTCCCCAACTCCAAGCCCTAGGCAGCCAGTACTATATTTTCTGTCTGTGTCTTTTCTGGACATTTTATAAATTGTTATCATAGTCATTCATCTTTTGTATAGACTTTTCTGACACTCAAATGTTTGTTCATTAAATGTGTGAATACATGCAAGATTGAGAAGTTGATGAAGGGTGGAACAGAGGAAAGAACACTGGACTGAGAGCCAGAAGACCTGCACTCTAGTTCTGATTCTGTCATTTATTTATGTGACCTAGGGAAGATTATTTGACTTTTCTGATACTTAGCTTTCTAATCTGCAAAGGACAGTTAATAATATCTATCCTCTTTCTCATAACATACTTGTGACAGTGAATATCAAATGAGAAATTTCACTTGGGGGTACTTTGTTCATCTGAGCATGCTGTACAGATGTAAGAATGATCTATGTTTGTTTTCGCTCTCATCCTTTGAAATGCCTGTAATAAGAAATCATTTATTACACTAGTGACAGAGGACAAGGTGGAACGGCAGAGTGCCAGCCTAAGGGGGCCAACCAGTGGACACCCACCCCTCATCTCTGCTCCTGGAACGGCGGCAGCTGAAACAGGGAAAAGGACTAACAAAAGCCGAGAAATCCCACATCTATCAGTGTGTGAGTTTCCCAGCCAAATAAGGAGATAACAATCCATTTTAGAGTGAAGATTAAATCAGCTCACGGGAAGAAAAATGGTGATGTAACTTTCTTTTATCTCTTGGCACTCAGGAAATGCTGATTCACGTTCTCATCACTTCTCTCCCGCAGGGCATTTCCATTAATCAGAGAAGGAGGGGGTATTCAGGTTTAGGAGCGAGCTCTTCACGGCCTCACCCAGGAGTGGAGAAGGGAACGTTCTCCGTCCTGGTTCAGTCCTTTTCTCTATATATAGGTTTAGGAGAATTTGTAGAGGATGTGGAGTGGGAACAGAGTTACTTCTCAAAGGTAAAATTCAGACTGCAGACATGATATGACATACGTGAAATGCATACATACATATACACATACATATGTGACAGGCGTGGCCTGAGAGTAACAGAATAATCCTCCTCAATCCAATAAGGTGTATTCAGGGAAGAAAGTGGCCTTGTAAATCAAAGTTTATCCTCAGAGGACCTTTCCTCCTGTCCAATATTATTGGGAAGGAAATTCTCCAAGTTTCCAGAGAGATTAGAAGAGCCCCTCGTCTTAGTCTGATCCAGGATGGAGTTTGGATGAAAAAACATGGACCTGGACTAAGGGATCAGCCTCCCTTTCTCCAGCCTCTCAAAGTCTGAGACATCGAGCTTCTCTGGGAAAGGGGCATGGGGGGAATGGTGGTGAGCCAGGGAGCCGGGCCTCGCCCATCTGCTCCCACCCAGGAGCCTTCGGTCACTGCCTTCCAAGTTGCTATCTTGATTTGTCCCCTCTCCTGATCATTTCATCAGTCCACTGCTTCCCCCTGTCCCCCAAGAAGGGTACCCTTCTAATCCTTCTCTGCGCCTACATCAGCTCTTTCCCCACAGCCACTACTCTCCCCTAGTCCAGGATTTTTTAGCCTCAGCTCTGTTGGCTTTGGGAATCACACAATTCTCTGTGGTGAGGGTTGTCCTGTGCACGGTCCTGTGCACTGTAAAATGTCTCCAGACATTGTCACATGTCCCCTGGGGGCAAAATTGCTCCACTGAGAATCACTGCTCTAGTTCCTTCTCCTTCACTTGAAGCCCCCATTTGTTAAGCATTTACCATGTGGAAGATACCGGATGGTCCTTCGTGTGTTTTATGTAAATGCTTCTCAAATTTTAATATACATAAGCATCATCTGGAGAGTTTTTAAAGTGCACCTTCTGGTTCAGTAGCTTTGGGGGAAGGGTCTGAGATTTTGCATTTCTAATGAGCTTGCAGATCTTGCTGTTTTGCTGGAGCACAGACTACACTTTGAGTAGCAAGGCTCTACCTCATTGGGTCCTTGTGGCCCTATGAAGACTCGGTTTTACAGTTGAGGAAGAGAAGACTCAGAGACCTCCTAGGGGCTCATCATGTTTGGGGCCCAGGTCTGCATGCATGCAAAACGCGAACTCATAACCAGTGATCTCAGTTGTCGTGGGACCAAGGTCTTTGGGTTCTCCCCATGCTCTCCCTTCCCTGGGGAGTCTTGCTACGATAAGCTCAGCCAAGCCTGAGAGGCAGACACGTGTTTGCCTGGAACGTCTGTATTATATTACTCCTTCCTTAGACAGTATGAGCAGCTCATGACCCCAGGTGGATATTCTGGAGCCTGCTGAGCTGTCTCCATGACCTCATGCCTCTGTCCTAGCCTGCTCTGCTAACAGCTCATCCCTCCCACCCTCCTGCCGACCGGTAGACAGTTGTCTAGGATTGCAGCTGGCCTAGGGGCTCACTTTTCCTCTCAGCTCACCTGTCTAGCCTCTCCAGCCCTCTCTTGCCTCCCTGTCATCTATTACCACAATACTCTTACTTTGTCTCATAAATGTCTCTTGGCATCTTCTTCCCATCATAGTCAGGGATTTTTAGTAATGACCTAGACACTGAAAGGAAAAAGGGTGGGTGATGTGGGCCCCTGCCTAGGACTAGAGGACAAGACTCAGGTCTTCCAGGATCAAAGGACTCACGCATGGTACCTGTAGCAGCAGTGGCAGCTGGCCAACCTGCTGGCTGGGGATTGCATCATGTATTTGATTTACTAAAGAAAACAAACAACACTGTGAGTGTGATGGAGGGAAGGGATGCTGGTGCCAGAGAGATTAAGGGTCCGCCACCTGGAGAGGTTGGAAAGCCTGCTCCTCCCAGGGTCCCCTGTTCTTTCTCCCCGGAGCCGGAGCAAGTTATCCTGCCCCTCACATCACATTTCTACTCCCATGGCTTTGCCTGGACCCAGGTTTAAGGAAACTCTTAGAATGTTTGTGAAAGAAGGTAATTCAGAGCAGGGCTTGGCAACCTCTCTCTGCAAAGGGCCAGAGAGTAAATATTTTCAACTTTGTGGGCCATATGGCCTCAGACCTACTCATCCTTGTCACTGTAGCACGAAAGCAACCCTAGACCACATGTAAACAAATGGGCTTGGCTGTGTCCCAATAAAAATTTATTTATGGACACTGAAATTTTAATTCACACACTTTTATGTGTCACAAAACACATGTTCTTCTTTTGATTTGTTTTCAATCATTAAAAAATATAAAAACTATCCTTCTGTCACTGGGCTAAGCCATTCTTAGCTTATTCTTGGCCGGTAGTTTGCCAATTCCTCATTCAGCGTCCAATGTTTCTCAAACTGTGTTTCCTAGGGTCAGGCTGGGTTAAAGAAAGTTAAACCCACGCCTGGCCCCCTGCCTCTACAGGGTACTATAGGTTTCCAAGAGGGGCTAGCACATGCCAGCCTTCTCTAATTTACTGACAGTGAAATCCCTAGTTTCATGGAGAGTCTTGCAGACAAGCATCCTTCAGGACTAGATTCTGTGGAACATGCTTTGGGAACACTGCTCCAGTCTGCCCCTCATTCTACAACCAGAGAACTGAAGGCTGAGTGCCTTGCTAGTTGGACACGTGACCAGGTCTCTCTTTTTTTTTTTTTTTTTTTTGTGGTACGCGGGCCTCTCACTGTTGTGGCCTCTCCCATTGTGGAGCACAGGCTCCGGACGCGCAGGCTCAGCGGCCATGGCTCACGGGCCCAGTCGCTCCACGGCATGTGGGATCTTCCCGGACCGGGGCACGAACCCGCATCCCCTGCATCGGCAAGCGGACTCTCAACCACTGCGCCACCAGGGAAGCCCGAGGCCAGGTCTCTCGATGGCACTGGTGTTCCTGATGCTGCACTGACGCATCCCCTGGGTAACCCCAGGCAGAGCAGCACCGCTGAGGCTAGCACACCAGGGCTCCCAGCCTTCCAGACCTGGCCATGCACAGCAGCTTCCTTATTCTACTTGAACCTGAGAAGAGGCACATTTTGGTTGAGTGATTATACACCTGGGTGGCTGTATGTCAGGAAACACTCCTAAAATTCTTGTCCCTGACCGATTAAAGGAGAAGCATATCTTGGCCATCCTTGGCCTCTGGGTTACGGTTGCATCATTAAACAGGGCTTAATTATTGAGTGATTTTAGCAGTAAGGAGACTAGTGTATTCTGTACAGTAATAATTGGTTTGCCTGTGTATAGGGGTTACAAAGCACCTCTGTGGCACTTTCGCATTTACTCCTCACGCCTGCCCTCTGAGGGTGGCGGGATGGGTTTTTGTTTGTTTGCTTGTTTTAATTTTATGGATGCAGAAACTGAGGCTTGAGGTAGCTAGACACCCTGCCCCTGGCACACCGACAGTGGCAGAGCTAGAACTCAGACCCAGGTATCACCTCACCTCAGAGGCTGCTTTCTCCATTGCCCCATTGTCTCAGAGTGAAGGGTGACTAGGCAGTGAAGCAATTCTCTAGGAAAGCATGACCAATTTCCCTTTCTCCACCTCCCACTTCTTCCTCTGCCCCTCCCCCGCAGCCCCCATATATAGGAAGCTCCACAAAGCCTGGCTTGCCTGTGCACCTTTACTTTTGAAGCTGCTTCCATAGCTGGAACAGTAGCCTTCCATTCACAGTTGCACCCTGATCGCTGAATGGTAGGGGTGCCTGCCCAACCCTCTTCCTCTACAACAGGAACCAGCCACCTCTAAACAGCAAACCCTCAAGCATCACTTCTAGGACCTGAGGTGAGTGATGGGAGAGTCTTGAGTACTTGGTTTTGAAGCCTTACACTGACCGCAGCCCTACTGGGAATGGGAGCTGGGGGATGGCAGAAGTCAACTTTTCCAGTGTTTATGTAAGGGTGAGATATACCGTGAGGCTGAGCTGCTTTCTCGGGTTTAACACCCAGAAGAATTTAGGTTGGAGGAGAGGAAGGCCAGGAGGATTATGAGGCCTAGAGATGAATTTGCAAGACAGGCTGCAGATCCTGTGGAATTTGAAAGAAGGGTATGGAAAGACGCTGAGTGAGAGGCTGAAGCACAGAGCTGCATGACAGGACAATGGGTGCTGGTTCTGGGCCCACTTCTCTGGCCCATGTGTTGGCAGGCACTCCAGAGACAGGCCTTCTCCCCGCTTCCTGACCAGTTTAGGGGTGGAAGACTGAGCATCCTCAGGTGTGAGACCAGGGCCAGGAGAAAGAAAGGGAGGGAGGGACTGAGCTCTGAGGAAAGAAGGAAGGAAGAAAAGCAAAGGACAAAGAAATTAGGGAGAAGAAATCTCTGCATACATTATGATAGACAGACAATGGGGTTCCCTTCCTCTGGCTTGGGGCTCTTCAAAGAGTCTTTCAGTGGAAGGTTTTAAAGGTGATTCCTCTGGAAATCTGATTCCTCCACTTGTTCAGTTACCTGAAAATTTAATTCTTAGAGTCAAGAGCCAGTCCGTCAGTTGAGGTGGCATAGTGAGTATGTGACCGTAACCTATCAATCAGCTAGTCCTTCCCTGTGGGTCAGGATTAAACCCACGGCTCCTCATGAGTCGGAGGTGGCCTTCTCCTGGAAGAGGGGAGAAAGACCTGTCCACGTGTGCCCGGTGACTTAAGGGCAGAACTCAGACAGGCAAACGCCTAGTTAAGCTCTCTATCCTGCTGAGTTTGGGCTCCCTATAGGAGTTCTTTGGCACATTGTAAAAGAGTGAAGAAATGGCACTCCTCATTTCTTCACTCTTTTTGGTCAAATTCTGACTAGCAGGTTGTTGACTAGAGTTGACTGTAACAGAGCAAGGAAGGAGGTGCAGGGGTGTGTGTGTGACATGGATTGGCGGGAGGGGGTGGTGGTGGCACAGATAGTGGGGAAGCCAGATCAATGGGTATGAGACCGAGTGGCAGAAAGAACCTTGCGCCACCCCAGGGCACCTCAGCAAGGCCACATGTTTGAATTATTCTAACACCGGGAACCCACTCTAGTTTCAGGTTTCCCATCTGTGTGTCCCCGAGGCTGGCCAAGGCAGAGCCAAGGAGCATTACTCTGGGGTGTACCCCTTCTTCCAGCAGGATCGCCCTGGTCCTTCCTCTGCTGCAGATGGGCTCTCCTGTGCGCATGGCTGCCCTTCCCTGCCTGAGTCTGATCCTGCTTTTCTGGAGCCAGGGGCCAGGGGTCCGGGGCCAAGAATTCCAATTTGGGCCCTGCCAAGTAGAAGGGGTAGTTCTTCAGGAACTGTGGGAAGCCTTCCAGGCCATGAAGGACATTGTGGTGAGTGAAGCGCTGTTCTGAAGCCAGCCGTGGGGGTGATTCTAGGCAGAGGAGAATATTTTATGATTGTGGAGCCTTTTGCAGCATGATCATCATTTTCCTATCTAGGAACTTAGTGAAATCAGACGTATCACAAGTCTACATTTCCTCTTGCCCTTGGGGAAACTGAGACTCAGAAAGATGTGGCCAGTCTGTAGGAAAAGAAACACAGCCCACGAGGAATAAAGAAGGGAGCCCGATTCATTTGAGCTTCATCTATGTCCCAGGGTTACATGAGACTCCACCAATGGGAAGTCATGGGAAATCCTTCGAGACCCACCAGAGTTTTCACCTACTGCTTTGCCAGCTCCTACTATCCTGTTCCCACCTGCTTAGGCCTTGAGTAAAGGTCGAAGAATGTTTAATGCTGAGCTGGGAAAGAATGGTTAATAGAGCTTGTGACATGTAGTCCTTAAAGGACAATCCACATGCAAGGCAGAAAGAAGGAGTTGATGACGCAGCTAGGGAAGAGGGGAGGGTGCCGCATTGGAGACAGGGCACCTATGTATGATCTTGACCTTGAAACCAACCCGTACAGCAACCCCTACCTTCGCCCCCATCAGTTTCCTTATTTGCACAATGAGGAGGTGGGACAAAGGAGCTCTAAAACTCCTTCCTCTCAAGCATTCTTTGGCTCAACACTCAAGAACTGGGATGAGTGGTGGGCTGCAGGGGAAGCTCCAAGGGCAGCCCCCCGACCTGCCCCAGAATATGGGGGTAACATCCCATTCCTTGTGGTTCTTAAACCACATGAGCTTATTTCTTCCTGCCTCAAGTGACCAAAGGGATCAAACAGGTCCCTCGTCAAAGCTCTAAGAGCTCCTGGGATTCCGTCTGCCCCTGGGGGCCAAGATTGGTGATTTTCTGGGCCTGGAACCTTGTACCCCTACCCCAGGGGCCAGTTCAGCATGGCCTTTCCTGGGTCCTCCCTCTGGCCTCTGAGATCTCACAGACTGGATAGATTTAGGGGTCTGGGGAAGCAGCGTGTATTTGCAAGGTCGGTTTCTATGCTGACCCCCAACCTGGAGACATCTGTTCTTTCTTTTCCCAAAGCAAGCTCAGGATAGTATCACGGGCGTCCAGCTGCTGCGGAAGGAGGTTCTGCAGAATGCCTCGGTAATCAGATGCTGGGGAAGGATGGTGCCTCCTCTGGGTGGCTGGTCTTCTACGGGTGACGCTGAGGGGTTGTCTAGGGGAGGCTGACAGAGGACTTCACTTCTGCCCTGGGCTGAGCCTGCACAGGACACGGCTTGGTAGTGAGCCAGAGAAGTAATATCTGGGGTTGTCATCTCAGTATCTGGGGTATGTGAACATGTGGCATGAGGAGAGGGGCGGGGATTGAGGCTTGTAAACCTCTGTCTCCATTTAGCCAGAGTTGCCATCAATCTAGATTTCTCTTTCGCTTTTGTCGGCCCAGTGAGCATGTGCTTAGGCCACTTCTATGCCCCTACTTTTTTCTCACCTGTTACTCATCACGCATCTAGGCAGTGAGCAGAGACGACTGAGCCCTGATCCCTGAGAGATGCTGAGCTTCCCTCTGTGGCACTTCAGAGGGCCAGTGTGCAATCCCTGTGCTCAGGGATACTTAGTTTTCTTTTCTCCTCATTTCCTCTCCTTCCAAGCCTTTTCCCTGCCAACTCTCAACCAATCAAGATCTGGTGCTTTTCAAGGTCCATCACCGCCCAGAGCTATTAGAGAGGCCATGTGGTATAGAAGAAAGAATACTAACCAGATGGGAGTCAGGAGTCCTGGGGGCTAGGCTGTGTCTGCTACTGACCAGCCATGGGACCCTGGGTGAGTCCCTCCTTTCTGGGTCTGCGGTTCCTCCTGTCAAACAAAGGGGCCTGGAGGCTCCTTAAGATCTAACATTTATCAGCATCTCCTAGAGGATTGCTGCCTCTACTGTGCTTATCTTGCCTTGCATGGCACGTGAGTGGTTCATCCAGGGCTGGGGTGGGCAGAGGCCTTGGCTCCGCAATGACCCCACCCCTCCCCAGGAGGCTGAAAGCTGCTACCTCATCCATGCCCTGCTGGAGTTCTACTTGAACACTGTCTTCAAAAACTACCGCGATAAGGCAGTTGAATTCAGGATCCTGAAGTCATTCTCTACCCTGGCCAACAACTTTATTGTCATCGTGTCCAAACTGCAACCCAGTGTGAGTAGAACAAAGCTGGGACTGAGGCCCACAGGAAATGCTACATTTTCAGAAGACTCGTCTTCCCTTATTTGGCCCTGGCTTTTATTCCACGACAGGGAGCTGCAGGTGTCATGGAAAAGAGCACAGGCTCTGGGCACCAGCAGTTCTGTGCTCAAATCAAGGTCTGCTTCTAACCAACTGGGTGTCCATTGGCAAGGTGGTCCACCACTCTGAGCTTTGGTTTTCTTATCTATAAAATGCTGATAATCACCCCTACGTGGCAAGACTACTGTGAGAATTAAAGGACACAGTCCCTGCTGCATGGTGGGAGTTCAGCATTGGCTACCTTGGGGACGCGGGATTTGGAGTTGTCCTCTTAGGCCTTGGGCACCCCTCCGGCGTCATTAGGAAGCAGTGGGAGGCAGCTTGCCTCCGCTCCTACCCGACACTTGGCACACTTTTTTTCTGTTATCCAGCAGGAAAAGGAGATGTTTTCCATCAGTGAGAGTGCACACAGACGGTTTCTGCTGTTCCAGCGAGCATTTAAACAGGTAATCAAAGCCAGGAAGGGAGAGGTGCCCAGCTGGAAGTAGACTAGCCTGAAGTGTCACACGGTTGTTCCTCAGGGACCGAGTGCCAGAATCCAGTGCAGCTGACTCCACCTGGCTGGCCCCAAAGCCACCGGGCTTAGCACAGCTGTAGCTGCGTCAGTTGCCATGTCCTCTGCATAAATACCACAAATGGCAGCCTAGTTTTCTGCCAGTTTTCAAGTTAAAGTGCTATTATATTTCCCTACAAGACGATTTCACTACCAAGGACATTCCCAGGTGAGAGTTTTCTGGGTACTTGAGGTGGGCGATTGGAGTCAGAAGTGAGGGGGAAGGAAGGGAGAACCCCCGAGCACAACACACATTGCGTGTTTTCCATGATGTTCAAAGGGTCTAGTCTGTGAAAAAGAATTACGGGAATTATGTTGGCTTTTCCTAAATTAAGACAACAAAGAAAATCCGAATTTCATACCCAGCTCCCCCGCAAAGCAAATACAATTTTGATCACTTTTTGAGGAACAGATACCCCAGTTTATAAATAAATGGTGAAGAGCAATAATATACAAGGGAAAGGGGCCACCCGGGCCTCAGTTTCCTCACCTGCACAGTGGGCTCAGGGGGTGGACAGGATCCACCCTGCGCTGGGATTCTGATTCTTAGTGTCAGGGACTCCAGATGCTTTTCCCTTGCTCCTTAACCGTTGCCACTCACCAACCCATCTGTCCTCACCTCCGAAGCAGACGACACTCTTAGACGGGGAGTAACTGATGGGTAGGTGACTTTGTCAGAGGCCATCCCAAAGGGGACTCAGCTCATGATTTGGAGTCAGACCGGGTTCAGGTGTCGGAAGGAAACCTATTCTTGTGGCTAACATGACAGATCTTCAACTCTCCTTTCCCTTTAGTTGGACAGAGAAGCAGCTGTGACCAAAGCCTTTGGAGAAGTGGACATTCTCTTGACCTGGATGGAGAACTTCTACCAGGTCTGAAGGCCTAGGCCAGGATACCCTCCTCGTTCTCTGTGTCATTTCAAACAAGCGTTCCTCCCCATGATGTTCTCTGGGTGCTTCACATCCTTGACAATGGGCCCCATCCTTGGCACAGGCTTATCCTCAAAGACTTCATTCTTTAAGGGACCCCAACAACAGTCGTGGAAGGTTCCCTCGGGTGCTGCGAATAACCTACAAAGCAGATTCCTATATTTATTACAACACTATTTAATTCCTATCAGTGTTTTAACCGATGCCTTATTTATTTGTCAGAATGAAAGTTCTGTGAAGGCAGCAAGGACAGTGCCCCACGCTTCTCTCTGATCCTCCACAATCTTTGCCACCACGTGGGGTAGAGGATGGGTGCTCAGTAAATGCTTAATTGGATTTTTTTTAACCTGTCTTTGAATTGTTGAGGAACAATGAGGGATGTTGGGATGTGAAGTTGAACTTTAGGGCATGGAAATGACATTGTCATGACACCTGCAGGGGTCATACGCAGAGCACTGGGACGAGGGTGAGGGCACTGGTTTGAAATATAAATGATAAAAGATATAATGCAGGGGGGTGCCCAGAACAAAGCAGACCCTCCCTAAACACTGCATTTCTTGCCCACACTGCCCACCTCTCTCCCACCATCCCTGCCCGTTGGGTACTCTCTTTCTTATCCTACTCACTCGTCCCTTATCTGCCACTTGGGAGGGTGCCAGCGTCAAGCTGACCTCGTGGATGGTGTCATCATACCTGGATGACAGGTGTGATGGTGGTGCGAATATAATTTAGGGTTAGGTTAGGGTTAGGATTATGTGTTATCCCATCTGTGATGACATTCCCTGCTCATAAAAAGCAGGCACCTCGGGAACCTTTCCTTTCTATCACTGGACCAGTGCCCAGAGAAGCTGAGTTGTGTGTCTGGGAAAGGCCTTCTTCCTAAAAGCAAGACGGGACATTCTCTAGTCTCAAGCTTTGACTGAACTTTGTAGTTGACTGCAATCCAAACATATAATGTCTGCCTAACTCTGCCCTTGTACAGAACACTCAAGAGGATGAATGTACGTAGGAGGTGGGATGTCTCTTCTTCCATGACGTGAGTTCTCTTGCAGAACAACTGGCCTTCCAGGAATCCCATATCCTTGTTCTACCCCACCTGGCTATAAGCCACCAGGACTGGCAAAGAGAGGAGGTGCATTTCTGAAAGCAGAGAGATGTAATGGCTTTGGATAGCTCAAATAGACCAAGGCTAAGATAAGTGCACACATTTCAGTGCATGGAAGAAGGATAAATAGATGACAAAAACTATTCTATTTCTGAAAGAGGGCGAATGCTGGAGTCAGGGTACTTAGGTGCATCAAGGGAGGAAGACTTAGAATAAAGAGGGTATCCACATATATCACCATCACTAACAAGCATGGTTCTGAAAATTTACAACTCTTCATCACATCAAAATAAATTGCCCTCATAGGACTCCAGACCATAGGACTCCAGACAAATAGAAGATCACTAGTAAATGCCGGCCCTAAGATCTGGGCAAAGAGGTTGTAAGGGGTGTTTCATAACAAGGTTCCTTCCTAGCTCAGGGCTGAAGCATGTCCTCACAAAGAAGTTCAGGCACCTTCTACTGGTGGGAAACCCAAGACCGAGAAGGGCTTTCAAAGCAACAGCTATGCCTAGGCTCCAGTCCAAGGCCATGTGGTCTAGATCCAGGGCAGCAAAGACCGTGTGATCAAAGACACTCTGCAAATCCCACAGCCTGTTGCATGGCTTGGAAAGGAAGCAAGTGGCATCAGGACAAATGCTCTGCATTCCCGGAGCCCACCTGAAAACCACAGGGGGCTGCAAAAGTGTCCAGGAAGAACTGGGGGAGGGGGGACTGAGCAGTGCTCAGGGCAAACAAGACAGGGATGAGACTCAAGGTGGGACGTGGGAGTAATGAGGGTTCTGAAAACGGATGGAGCGGGTGTTGGAAACCAGCATAGAGACAAGACTCATTGGCACCAAGGTCTGGGCCCAGGGGGACAGCTGGAGAGCTGAGTCAGGCAGGGAATATTGACGTAGTCATCGGAATGCGTGTCCTCCATCTTGGCAGCAGGCTGGTGGTAGAAGCTCACATATTCACAGCTGATCTTCACAGATGGGGCATGGAGCCAGGGAGTTTCCGACACCTGGGAACAACCGGAGAAGCATCACTGGATCTGGGTAGGGTGATTGTAGCATTGACAGCAGGCAATGGGGTGGGGTGGGGGGGAAGCATGCATGTGGTTGCTGTCTTCTAGAAGGCAAAACACAGAGGTGGTTGAGCTCCATCAGGTGGCTCAGCCCTGGGGATTTTCAGGGTGGCGTCTCAACCCCAAATAACTGGAAAACACTTAGATCTAATGTGACAGGAAATGCCTTAAACGGGGCTCAGACTAAAATCATGTGACTAAGCACGGGTCTGAAGGAGAACCAGCTGCCGGAGGAGTTTCCCCTCTGGGATTAGACGATGTGACTTGTGGAATAAATATGCATCTTCTCAGGGAGTTATCAGAAGTAGCATGAGTCATCCTCTGCACCTCCATAGGGCTTTTATTCCATGGAGAGCTTGTGACGTGACATGACAGTGCATTCCAGGAAGGAGCCGGCTGGTGAAGCAGAGGAAGGTGGCAGGCCATGTGGAACTCCACTTCCCCAGAAAGAAAGTTCAGGACCATCTGCCTTCAGGACGGATCAGTTCTCGGAGGGCAGGGCTATGCCATGACTCTAACACGGCACAACTATTGTAACATCCACCCAGGAAGGCTGCAGTAGGGAAAGTCACACATTTTTGACACAAGCGCTGAGAACCAGAAGTTCAGCCCCCTGAACATAGTAGGCACTGAGTAAGTGCTCACTGAAAGGAGCTGTTACTTTCTGTACTTTACCAGAGAGGGAATGAGCAGCAGCTTGCTTCAAAAATATTATCTCCCACTGCCTGTTACAGTTCATCATTTGAGATTTATTTGGCTTAAAAAATTTTAAAAAGTCACTCCCTGTGAAGGCTTAAAATACTCAGTCATTAATCATAGGCACCTTGTTGTCAACTTGCTCCATCAAGATTTTTATCCCTGAGAGTGGGAATGTGAGTTTCAAGCAGGGAAGAAGGGTAAAATTTGAGCAAGGTACTGGGCCAGGTGAGGGCATGTGTGGTCACAGAGCAGTTCCAGAGAAAAGGGCTGAGGTAAGTGTAGAATAGATGGGCACCGCTGGACCTACCTAAGCTACTGTGAACCTTCTCCAGCAGGGCTGAGGGCAAGCTCAAGAAGCTGGGCATGACGGGGGCAGAGCTGTTGCTTGTTGCCAGGCATCACTCTCCCCTTTGTAGCAAGGCATGGTTACCGAGCCAGGGATACATTATTCAGCCTCCCTTGAAGGCAGGTGTGACCACGTGACTAAACTGTGCCCAGTGGGATGCAGGTAGAAGTGATGTGTGAAATTTCAGGGTCATGTTCTTAAAAAAGCAACTTTCTCTTTCTTCCTCCCATGCGCTGGGATGCAGACATGGTGCTGGTGATTGAGCATTGACCACGGACGGATGGACGCGGCAAGACTCCAGGGGATGGTGCAGCAACAGGCAGAAGGCATTTGAGTCCCTGGATGACCCCATGGCTCAGGCCACCTCCTCCTGGCTACCTGCCTTTGCTTGAGAGGAAAATAGGCTTCCAGGTTGTGGGCCGTGGTTTAGGGTTTGCTGCATTAGCTTAGCCTACCCCCTAATTAAATCAGGGAAACTTGCCACACTTAGTTTTTACTGGTTCCTGAAGTAATAATGTTTCTGCTATGGTAGGCTGCTTTAGAGAATAAAATGGTTTAGAGAATAAAATGAATAGTTTACAGGTTTTTCACACATCTGCCGAATGGCCATCAATAGAAAGATGAGAAGAAAAAAAAAAAGAAAGATGAGTTCCCTATGTCCAAACCTAGATTTCAAGAGGAATATTCTTCATCCAAAGTGTTGAATCTTATCTACGTCTCTAGGCCAGGCTTAACTGCCTTCAGTGATGGGTAAACAACCTCCTCTCATCTTCGAGGGCTTACTAGAAAGTACTTCCTCATATTAAGGTGAAACTGGGTAACTTCCACCCCCTTAAGATCTCCTAGAAATCGACTCTTTTCCACATGAAAGCCCTTCACGTATTTGTAGAGGTACCATCTATTATCCTCTACTAAGCTCCCATTTATCCCATGAGAAATGCTTGGCTAAAAGCCGTGTAACTAAGTCTACCACAATCGTTGCGTAGTCGCCTACTCACACCATCAAAGGAGGAAACTGATACTAGTTCCCAGACTCAGGGCCCGGGGAGCCGCTGCGAAAGCCCCCGCCCTCCAGCTAAGCCGAAGCTCCACCGACTGCGCTCGGGTCCAAGCCCAGGTCTGGGGCCGCCCATTAGGGCCGCAGCTGCCAATCAGGGGACGGGGCGGAGCTTACCTGCGGCGGGGCTGGGGGCGTCAATGCTCCGGGGCCTGGGAGAGGTGCCGCCCCTTCACCTAATAGGAACCGGGAGGGCCGACATGAGGGCGGGGCCGAGGATCCAGCCCCACCCGCAGCTCTGCCGGAAACCCTGGGGAGGAGGAGCGGGCCGCGCTGCACGCGGCTGTTCTGGAGGCGGGTTTTTCTGGCTCACCTTCCGCGCCGCGCAGTGTCTGCTGCTCCAGCTCGCACGCCCGGCCCGCCCCGCTCTCCCCCAGCCCGCCTCCCTCTCCCCGCGACCTGTCCCGCTCTCCCCCATCTGCCCGCCTGCTCACCAGCAGCGTCCACCCCCCGAGGGCGCCGAGGGCAGGCGCTGTAGACGTTGTTTTGGGTGCGTGGCCAATGCGACACGCGTGGCCGCTGTGACACGCGTGGCCGCTGTGACAGGGGCCGCTGTGAGGCCTCCAGGGCGCGCATCCTCACGGCCAGTCGGCGGACCCGTCTGGAGAGAGCTTCTCGGTAAAGCCACAGGGAAGGAGAGAGGAAGAGGGCGTCAGAGGCCCATGGGCACCCCCTCCCAGTCTTAGAAAACTAAAGGCTGTCTGTTTCCCTGGTGTTTGGCAATGTCTGACATGTGGGTGCTTACTGAAGACCAAAGGGCCCAGGCCGCGCTCCTCCCCGCCCCCATTTCCAGACCATTGAGCCCCGTGCCACGTTCCCCACACCCCAGGCTGCTCATCTAAAGCTCCTGAGTGTCCCCGGGAGGTCAGAGTGATCTGAATGCGCTGGGATTTGGGGGAAGCTCGGCTCTCCGAAACTTAGCCTGGCGCCCTCACCTTTCCTCCTTTGAATGACCCTCTTCGCCACCAGCCCCAGAAGTGCCAGCAGGATGAGACCCAGGATGGTGGGGGTCAGGATGTAGAAGCCTTGATCTTCCATCCCAGACACGGGGCCTGGGCCGTGGTTGAGTGATCTGAGGAGGGAAGGAGGGGGAGAGAGAAGGGAGAGGTCAGGAAGGGAGGGGGTTAAGGCAGCACGCAAGTGGCCAACTTTTTTGGAGGTAGCTCACAAGTTTGTCCCTTTGTTAACAGAATTCTCGCCCTGGACGGTGCAGGCCTCTTACCTCTGCCTGTGAAGCCTGGTTTGGTGGTTGTAGCTGGCCGTCTGGAGCCTGAGCAGTTCCTCCTGTGCTGAGGTTTTTGAGGCTGTGGCAGATGGCAGGAGGGTGGCGGGCTGGGCAGTTGCTACTGAAGATGCCCTGTAAACTCGAGGGCGGTGGGTGATTGAGGTGGTGGGGGAGGCATGGTGTGCTGGAGGGGCCTCGGTCCTTTGAGCTGGTGTGGTTACTACAGAAGACAGCAGGAAGAAACTCTAGTCTCCAGCAGCCTTGGGCCAACCATTTCTTTCCAGAGCACATGCTTCCCTTTTACCTAGACTACCTTTGTTCTCACGGTCCTTGTCACCTGAAATGCCTCCTGAGCATGCCATCTGCATCTAGTACGTTCTGTCTATATTTGCTTCAAACTCCATTTCCTACAGGAAGTCTTCCCTGACTTCCCAGGCAGAAGAGCTTGCGCTCCTCTAAGCATGGACAAAACCTTGTTTGTAGTTCAATTCCCACTCTGCCTTGTGCTGTATCTATGTGCTTGTCTATTCTCCCCCATCCCACACCTGTCAGTCACAACCTTGAGTATACAGTGAGCTCAGTTACACGATCCCTCTCTCAATGGCCGGCAGTCTTTTAGTGTAACAATAGTCAATTAATGTATCTACCTCACAGGGCAGATGTGAGGATGTGATGTAACTATTGCATGTCAAAATGCATTTAAGACAGGAAAATGGTATAGAAATGTAAAAGTATCATTAGTATAATCGTGATTGATCTTGTTATTGTAAAATAGAGCTGTTAAATCAGTATGCCAGCAAATGGAAGACAGCCCTATGGGGAGCAGGAAGCAGGAGGACCTCTGGCTGGGAAACGTCTGCCCAGTCTTGGTTTCCCCGCAGTCATTCATAAAAGAGCTAGATTTTGTGAATGGAGCACAAACTTCATTACATGTGGTGCCACCTGGTGGTGTTGGGTCATTTCTGCAACTAGTGCCAAGTGTACGGGCTGAAGGATGGGCTTGAAAGACTTGGAATGCAGATCTCAGGGAGGTACCCCCTCCTAAGGCAGGGAAATACACATCTGAGACGCAGCTCTGCTCTGCCAACCATCCTACGAGCTGAACATATACCCCCTCCTCCATTTTCACAATGCCATAGAATCTCCCCCACCTCCCCTACCCTACCTTTGGGGAACTGACCTTTGGATATGAATTCCAAAGAGCTGGCATGTTCAGGCATCTGGAACCAAAGAGGCATGCGCATTTGGAGAAGTCTGTTGAACCATGCTGGAGGCTCAGGCAGTGGCTCTTCTTCCCAGAAAGGCCCGTAATCTACCGGAGGCAAGAGGAGTCCATTGGTGGTCTCTAGGACGAGACTGAGGCCTGGGGAAGGGACCGCTGCTATGAGCTGAGGCTGACTCAGCTAGGGCAGATGGCAGTGAGGGGATGAGGGCAGGGAAAAGAAAAATAACCAGGCTGGGGGCTTCCCTGACAGAAATCCTCTTTCACCCTAACCCCGTCGGCATTCCCTGCAAAACCATCGGAGACCATTGGGAATCTAGGTTGTTGAATTAGTGCTGTGTATGTCTGAGGAAGTCAGTGGAGAAAAGAAAAAAGGAAGGATTCGGGAGAAATAAAGAAAGGATCAGATCATAAAGTAACAAATTTGGCCATCAACTGTGAAAAATGATTGTCTTTCCTTTATATTTATCCCTGATATCTCTCATGGGACAATTATGGTAATAATTATGTCCTTTTGCTTCCAATTTCCTTCAGTCTCAGAGCCCCTCCTCAATCTCACCCCACACTCGCCTTGTGCCCTGGGTAGGATGAGTAAAATACCACACAAGGAGAGCACCTATCCTGTCCCTTTCATACAGTTTGGATAGAAAATTTGGTGGACCGTGAAGTTCATTGACTCTATGAGGTTTCAACTCTACAGATCCCAGTTCCTACTGGACTTGCTAATATGGGAATAGTGTAAGAGTGTGGGGACTGCTGCAGTCCCATTGTTGTCCCAGCCTTCCTGAGTGGAAACGTTTTCTGGGTGGCCAGAGCCTCCATCGTGTGGGGCACCTACCACTGTGAACAGACAGGGTGATCTGCTGGGTCTTGCCCCGGTCTGTGTCCATGCCTGCCCCACAGGCATACACCCCGCTGTCACTCTCGACCAGCTCTGTCATCTCCACCAGGAACAGATTCCTGTCTGGACACAGCTCCAGTGTGACTCGATTCTTGAATTCCTTCTTGACGAAGTTCCTGTTGGACACCACGGTGGCGCATCCTCCAGACGCAACAATTGTCCGGCACAGATATATCCTCACATGCATTTCAGGAAGCGGGCACTCGATGACAACGGATCCTCCCAGCATTCCCTCCACCTTTACTTCTGGAACGACCCTCAGGGCTCCAGCTACTGCAGGGAGAGGGAGTTAATGTAGAGGAAGCCCCAGCCCCAGCCCCATCCCCGACTCCAGCCCTGTTTCCAACCCAGGCCCCAGCCCAGCCTCATACTCATCCCTACTTCCAACTCCATCCCCATTAGCAGCCCAAGCCTCAGCCAACCCTCAGCCTCAGCCCTCTCATGATCTCTAGCCCTGGCTGCATCCTCAGCCTCTTCCCATCCCCAACCCTATTTATATTCTTGGCCCAGCTCTATGTCCATCCCTAGCCCTATGCCCAAGGCTGAGTCTCTCCCCAGCCCAAGCCTTAATGTAGTCCTCAGCCTTGTTACCAAACCTGAACCCATATGGACCCAGACATCAACCCCCTGAAAATACAGTCAAAGCCACTACCCCACTCCAGGGGGAGAGAATGTGCCACAGTGATCCCCCCAACCAGCCCATGATCCCTGAGTGACTTCAGGGTGGTGTCGGGAGGCACGGTACAATTTGCTCCAACAGGTTTTCTGTCTAGTTCTGTTTTGCTCAGATCCATCCAACCAATCAAAACAACCATTCACCTCCAGTCTTTTTATTCAATAATTCAACAAGTATCAGTTGAATGCCTTTCATGTGATAAGGTGCCTGGCATCCCTCCCTCACAGAACGCATCATTTATTGAATGATACAAATGGACGGCCACTATGTGACAGCAGAGTATAGTAAATCCCATGGCGTAGATACACAGAACTCCTTGGGAGCAGCAAGCAGGGGCGCCTGATCCAGTCTGCCACAGAGGATGATATAATTTGAGGAAGGCTTTCTGGAAGACGTGGTGTGTAAGTTGTGACCTGAAGGACTGGGTGTGGACGGCAACTCAGAGAATGATGGTGCTGTCTTCACTGAGGAAGGGAACACAGAAGGAAACAAGGGTATATT